TACTTGGGAGAAGATATCAATCTTTTAGTCATGTCAATCACAAACAAAAATAATATATATTATTAGAAAATAATATAAATTATATATTGAAATCTTATCTATTAACTTAAGGTTTTAAGTTAAATTAATTTTTTGATATGGTATCAGAATTTTAATGATCAAGCGGTCATGAGTTCAAGTCTTACTATTTTTATTTATTTGATATAAATTAAACATAAAATAATATAAATCTGTGCAAATTTCAAGTTCAAATGACATTTACTCGAGAGGATATGTTAAAAAATAATATAAATTATGTATTAAAAACCTCACCTAACAATTTAAATTTTTAAATTAAATTTAATTTTTAATATATATGATGCAATTCAATCCCTTTTTCATTTGTAAAGTTCAATCAAGCTAAGCTGTGTGTGTGTGTTAAAATAATTTAATATTAGAGCAAAATAAAATTGACTTCTAATGTATTATCAATATTTAACTTTTAATTTATTTTTCTATCATTTTCAAAAATTTAATTTAATTTAAAATTTAATTATTGATATTTAAAAAAAATTAAATTTTAAATGTTATTAAAATATTTAAATTAAAAAAATTAAAAAAATTTCAAATAGCCCGTTATTGTACACACACAATGTCACGCGTGTAACAAAATCCCGGTGCTATGATTGCCATCATCGCTTTTAAAATCTGCGTGGAATAATTTTTCCAATAATATAATTACAACAAAAATAAGCACTTTCAACCCCAGGAGGCAAGAACAACTTCCACTTTTTTGGATCAGTTTGAACACCTTCAGCTGATATTAATATTCCACTTTTGCCTCCAAAGAAGCATTTTGATGCTTTAACAAACAATGAACGCTGTCCTCACAATGATAATGCAAATATAACCTTGCAAGGAATAATTATAACAGAGTTAATAGAAAATATTCAGAATTTAACCTTTAAGTTCTTTAAAATTATTATAAAATATTGTTAGAAATTATATCAATCAATGCTGCTCTCTAACATTAATATAGACACCACATGTTTTTGTTTTTATTAATTTTATAAAAACTGATTGATCTCAAAGATTTGTCGTAGCAGAATAAATTTCTTGAACATTTATATTTTTTTAATAAAGTGCTCGTATGTTATTTTTTAATTGTTATTGCTTTTGAAAATTTAATTACATGAATAACTTTTGTCAATGATTCCAAACTTCTTTTATTATTTCATATTTTGTCAACTGGATATTGATGAAATGCTCAGTAGAATTGTTAATTTAAATAATAATCTTTGCATTATTTGTTTTCCATGCATCTATCAAAGCAATATTCCCCTCCTCAGTATTTTTAGATATTACATAAGTTCCACTAATATATCCCTACATCGTTTTACTTTTAAAAATATTTCTCATTACATAACTTCAATACGAATAATTTTTTCCATTCAAACTTCACATTCATAGACTGAAACGAATCATCTCTTTTATTTGTCATAATCAACAAAAAAGAAAACAAAATACAAACGCAGCGAAAAACAAACTAATAGATTGCAAAAACTAAACAAATATTGCAAAAATTGAACAAATATCATTTTGAAGTTATACAATTACTCCAAAACAAAAAATTAAAAAAACATAATGCAAATATTAAATTACAAAAACTAAAGGGAACATGAAATATCAGATTTGCAGATACTGAACAAATATGAAAAGAAATATAAAAATTGTATTTGAGATTAAGTCTTATTATATAAAACCAGTTTTCATATCATGTTAAAGCAATTCAAATTAGCACAGAAAAATACAAATATAAATGAAAAGGAGACTAAAATTTTCATTAATTACTATTTTGAAGTTATTATTTTAACTTCAGAATACAAAAAAATTATATATATATATTAAATTAAAAATATTATTCTACCTTTAATAAATAAAATAAAATATATATATATATATTTCTTACTGGTCTTAACAATGATAATACAATACATAGATGTTTAAATATAACCATGCAAAGAATAATTATGTAATGAGATGTCATAAAAAATACTAAAATGAATTTTTAGAGAATACAATTTAAAAAATAAAACATAAAAGGCCATTTTTTAAGATACACTAGTGTCAAATTTTTTTTCCCACCATGATCATCAATTTTTTTAATTAAATTTTATAGTTTGTTTTTTATATAATTATTTTATAGTTTATTTTCTATATAATTATTTCAGTGTCGGTAAAAGTTTTTATTCTTCAAAGAGATTTATGATCCTGGGGTTAAGTTATTGAGCGAGAAACAGCATACTTCAAAGTTTTGGAGAGCATTTCAAGGACCAAAAAAAAAACAAACAAACAGATTTTTGCACTTTTCTTAAACGCTAATCAATCAATTCTCACAATTTTCCTAAGAAATTATTTCGAAATTCCAATACATTAAGATCACAATCAACACGACTTCATCAAGATAAATACTTGATATAAAGCAACAGAACACTCCTCAAGTTTCATTTCTTAACAAAATTCATACCCTCGGCCACTTTCTTAAAAGCTGGCCTAGAAGAAATATCCTCCCACCATGCCTTAACATGCGGACGCTCATTCACCACCGAAGCTGCGGGAGTCTTCATGAGATAGTACGTGTATGGTAGGTGGTGAAGGTCAGCCAAGCTATAGAAATCGCCGGCAAGGTACTTGGTGCTAGTCAGCTTAGCTTCATATACGTCAAGCACTTTTCCTAGCTTCTCTAAGTTGGCGTCAATGATTGTTTGATCAGGTAAATTGCCTTGAAGTGGAGCCACCAGGAATTGAAAGACAATCGGTGCTATCGCAGGGTTATATCGGTGGGACTCTACCTCTGTCCATACCTTCACCGAAGCAGCTTCTTTGAGGTTTTCGTGCCTTATAAGATCGTAGCCAGACCCCTTGAATTTCTCAGCAACGTATGATGTGATTGCTCTGGATTCTGGTAAAGACAAAATATTGAGGGACTGCAGCAACGACTTCAATTCCTAGTCATCTAGTTAAGTCCCAAGTCTATCTCCCATAAATTTGGTCCAAAAGTACTGTAAATCAGTCATCTAGTTAAGTTCCAAGTCTATCTCCCATAAATTTGGTCCAAAAGTACTTTAAATCAGTCATCTAGTTAAGTCCCAAGTCTATCTCCTATAAATTTGGTCCGAAAGTACTTTAAATCACATACATACTACAGACCCTAAAGACATCTCCGAGGAATTAGATTCCATTGACAGTTGCTTTGATCTATAACTTGAAGATGCTGCAATTGTACTTACAATAATCTGTTAAAGTCCATTCATCAATTGGTTACTACCTAATCGCAGCAATTATGAATGATTAAGTGGGATTATGACTTATAAAGTGCTGTACTCTTGTACGTATCTTAGAGATGTATTGATATGATGAAGTTAAAATGTGGCGAAATATTCTCTCTAAATTCAAGGTCTTCCAGCTTAACTTCGATTTATGGCAGCTTAATTTATAGGCTACTTGAGCCTTGAAAATATGCTTCTTTGACCACCGCAGGTTAATTTTAAATTTAAACACACCAACCAGCCTGCAGGATCTCCAACAACATTCTCAAAAGATCACCTATGGAGTTCTTTCATGTGTGTGTTAGTGAAGAAGTAATTAGAAATAAATCATAGCTTACCGAATAAAGTAAGATCATCTTCTTCAAGAGCTGGAATCTGACCAAAGGGCTGCATGCATATAGAATACAATTCAATAGTGTAAAAAAAATGAAATCAGAAACTAACACAAAACTAAACGAGAATTTGGTACTAACTTACATTTTTGGCCAGGAAAGGAGGCTGCTTGTGCTCGCCAGCGAAAAGATCAACCGGGACAAGCTCAAAATCTAAGCTCTTCTCATGGAGGCATGTCAGCACGCGAGAGGTGCATGTGGACATGGGTGTTCCATACAACTTAAGCACCATTGATGAAGACAGAGCAACAGATTTCACAGACTGGTAAGTTTATATTTTTGTAGATGAAGAAAACCCAACTCCTTCACTGCTTATTATACTAGTTACCTGCTGTCTAGCTACTACCTAGTGACTTGTTTGCTGGAGTTTTTCCTTCTTTTTTTGGCTTCTCCGCTAATCTAGCCAGCTAGTGGTCTTTGAAATGCATGTGCTCGGGGTAGTTTTGCTGCGTGTTTTCTTATCCACAGGAAACGTGTAAACCTGCAGGTCAATCTTTCAAAACAACTGTGATGCCTAACTGGGATGCGTCCCTTAATTAAATTGGATATATTTGCGTATATTGTAACATTAACATGGAAATTAATAAAGGTTTGGTGAATTTATCCAGCAGCAGAAAGTATACGCGAAGTCGTATTCTTTAAAATTATAAGGATGGCGCATTTTTGAAATATTATATTTAATTAATTATATGGTGTTTTATAATTGTAATATCAATTAAATTTTAATAACTATCCTTATTCTTCCTGTGAAAATCCATCACAAAATTCCTCTAAATCCATATCTAACAAAAATAATTTTTATGAGATTTATTATTATAACAAAATTCCTCTAAATCTATATCTAACAAAAAATAATTTTTATGAGATTTATTATTAAATTACATAAAAATTATAATTTCAATAGTTATTTAGTTTGTTAATCTTATATTTAATTTAGTTAATAATTTTAGAGAGTTAAAAAAAATTATTTTAACAAAATCTTGGCAAAGTTTCTTCTATTTAGGAACATTACCTAAACTTTTATTCTGCTAAAAAATACAGGTAAATAACCATAATAACCAAACATAATAAATTCTTACATTTTATAATTATAAGTAGTTTCAAGTTTACACTAAAACACAAATCTCAATTATTTTTACCCACCACATTTATGAAATATTTTTACCCACCACATTTATGAAATATTTTTACCCACCACATTTATGAAATGTAGTTTTATTAAGAACATTTTCATGAAATAAATGAAAATAAATAAACATACATGCATAGATACAAAAGGAATATGAAATGTTTAAATAATACAACAATTTACTAATTAAAATCTCAAAATATCTCAACATAATCCATCTATTTATCTACTTTTATGTCATTTATTGGATGATCTAGGCTCATTAATAGCACAACTGCATCATTCTCTTGCTCCTAGCTAAGTGACCTCATTCTTTTCCTCAACATCATCAAGAGTTAATATCTTTTTAAAGTTCTCAGATGCATTACAACAAATATTGAACCACCGAGATACATATGTATATCATTTGTGTTTTTTGTCAATATTATGATACATAAATGCTGCCTTTTGACCCTCTCATAGCAAAAAACTAACCTCGTATTAATAAAAAAAATTAATATTAGATTAAAAGATCAATAAATAAAATATAATATTTAGCATAAATTAATTCTAAAAATATTTGATTACTTACGGTATTTTGAATTTGTTGAGCATGTTGCTTATATTGCATGTTTGTAGGTGGAGGAATCTACTAAGAATCTAGTGTAATGACCTAACATATGATATCTATGTACCAAATCATATACTCCTCCTCTATAATCATATGATGTATCTCTATAAATAATTTGTTGAAATTAAGTTGTTGTCTTTAATAAACAATTCAAAAATACCTTAATAGGTTGTTGCCTATCTAGCTCACTCCGATAAAATAACAACACATATGTTGAATTATTGTCAAATACTCCACTAAAACACCATCTAGCATTATAAATATATTAGCTAAATTGAATTTTTAAAGTTACAATTAGACAATATAAATTCAAATAATTGCAAAATAACATTGTATCCCTACATCCTAATAGAATTGAATTGTAACTTTCATAGTTTGAATGGTTTTAAGTGGCAATATGAGAATATAACATTGGTCCATATGGAGATGCTTCTAGGACCATAGTTAACAACAAGCATTTAAAATGTAAATGGTTATTTTAAATTCTTCCATTCATGCTTATAGAAATAGCAAATATCTCACAATTTGTTTGATCACCTTCATGCATGCAAGATATATATATCTATATATTCATGCTATGACACGTATCCCCAATTATTTATAGGAATCGTGTCAAAATCATCTAGAAGAGTCGGATAAATTAAAAGCACATATCTCCATGTTAGGTTTGTGAATAATACACTGCCAAACATATACAGTATATATACTCTAAGATAACTATATAACACATTTAAACTATCATATTAATTCACATATGCTTAAAAAATAATTAATATATTCAAATAATAATTTAATAAATGCCCCTATAAGACCTTGTCATTAGCATCATCTGGTGGTGTGATAAATATCTTATCAATCCATTTTAAGATATTTGTTACCCTCTTCAATTCAGTAGGAAGGGGTGTTAATCTAAAGAATGCTTACATTACGCAACCTGATTACACACCTCAATATATATGATTATGTCTGCATCAATATGAGTCTAAGTAAAACTACAACATCCTATAATGTTAGTATCATCTTCTCATGCTTAGATGAAATGTGTGAATCTCACGTCTCCATCACTCAATTAGTATATGGATCAAATTGTGGTCAACTTTGATGTGTTTCAAATAACTAATGTATAAAAGAAACCAGCCTATAATACATATGGCTGAACTCGCTCATGTAGTTTCATTCACTTATATTTCATATAATACATCATAAACTCATCTGCATTACAATTTAAAATATAATAACATAAATATATAATACCTTGAAGGTTTATAGCACATCTTCATTATATAATATATATATATATATATATATATATGAGTCTTTGAATTTATGATTGAAATTGCTGAAAAACTATCATGCATGATACAAATGGTATATTGTAAGTTCTACTAAATTTATGTTATATTTTTCTTATGCCTACATGTCTATTTGATATTATACATATACAAATCTTATCACTCGCAATATATTTTTATAAAAAAAAAAACAAAAACCATCTTTAATTAGAATTATTTTCTTCATCAACAATTGCAAAAGCCAACAAAAATATCTTATTATTTATATGAAAAGCAACTACAATCAATAACTTCTTATCAAATCACTCATATAAATGTATGTCATCAATATTAATTAATGAACCTTTAATACAAGTTAAAAATAACCAAAAGAAATCTTTCATAAACCACTTTACAATCATCAAGGTTTCATTTATGCGTCCAATCAACAACTGTTTTAGAATTTGATTCTAACAACTGTTTTAGAATTTGATTCTTTTATTACCAATAACAACCTTAACAACTGTTTTAGAATTTGATTTTTTTATTACCAATAACAACCTTGGAGATCTTTCAAATGACTTTGCATGTGAACAAAATAAATATTCAACTATTTTTTATTTTTTAACTCATATTTTATCATATAATATTTTATACTTATATTGAGATTTTATTTTATTTTATATATTTATATCCATCATTTAAATTTTATTCATCACAACAGTTGATATATGATATAGCATTAACAATAAATTTTGCTACTTCAAAGCATATACATGAGAATCAACCTCATTTAACGGCAGAGAGAATAATACGTAAGTCTTGCTTTGTTAAAAGTTTCCTGAAGCAAGGATTGAGGTAATTGGAATGCTCATGGCCCAGAGCAATTTCCATTTAATCCGACGAAGTAGCATTCAAATAAGTTACCAATTACCCTAAAAATAATATATAGAAGCGGAAGTTGAAAGTGTAGAGCCAATTTGCTGTGAGGAGTCTCCTGTTAAGTCAGAGGACATTGAAAGAAAAAAAATGTTGTCTAAAATTTCTGACAGCATCGATAGACACCTGGATTTCATGGCAGCAGCAGCAGCCGAAAGCTGCATATGGATTCCCTCTGCGGAGGCCCATTTTAGATAAGGTGCACGGACATACATAGCAGCATGGGTCACGCAAGCTTATGGGGACAGAAGTCGCTTTCGCGGAACAGATGCTGATCCCATCATCATTTCCCTAGTATTCGCATGCCAGCAGACGGCGTTCTTCTGCCATCAGATTTCAAGTTTCAGAACAAAAATAAAGAAAGCATTCGCATCCTCGAATTCCGCTATTCTGTGAAGAGGATTTACCACTGCAGTCACCAAAAACATGAAGCGAAGAACCACACAAAACACATTGAGGGACCCTTTAACCATGTAATGAGCGCTCCAAGATGAACTTCCTTGTTAGACATTCGAGCTACCATTGATTCCTTTTGAAGAAAACACGAGCAAGCTTTTCTGCCTGTCCTGACTTTTAAGTTAATCGTTGCTTAACAGCTACTTTCATGCCACCGTCGGAACAAAGGTAAACTCATATCAGGAAATCTTTTTCAGAAAACTACCTTTAAATTTCAACGGATTTGCATACAAAGTGGAATTTGCGCGTTAACAGGGAAGGGGGGGAGAGAACAAAGAATAAGAGCAACGCCAAAACTCTAATATTGTCGAGTCAGGCTTCAGAGTTACATTCATAGTTCACTGGCTCAAACCACACATCCGAATACATAGCAGCGACTCCTGAGACTTTTAAGCCTTCCTGCACTGTTAAATAAGGAAGGCGATACCATTTTAGCACAGTTTGCAATTCGAAGTGGCATAATAATTCCACTAATAATCTCCTCTTTTTTTCTTTCCTTTTTCACTTACTTTACAGTTTTATAATTACATATTTACAACATAATATAGCCATATAGATGAGGCAATGCAGGAAGTACCCAAATAGAAAAAGGAGAAAAAATATATATTTCCAGAACGAATGAGATGCCTCTTTAAAAGGCTGCTTCTGGCTTCAAGAAGTTGTGATATTCCAGCTGAGTCATCTCTCCACCATTCACAGGATCAAACTGACAACGATAGAAACTGCAAACATAACCAAACTGCCTATCAACAATTTTATTCCAGAAATTTCATTTATCAAGCCAAAAAAAAATGGCAAGTTGAGGTGGTGGTTCCAGTGAGGATGAGGGGTAGAGTTGGGGGCAATGTGGAGGCCAGAAGGGCATGATGGAAAGAGATTATGAAAAGAACATGGAAAATATGATGCAAAGTCATTCATCGTTGAAGGTACACTGAAGCACAACATTAAGGGGAAAATTCCACAGA